CCCTAATTAACAAGTTACATAGAAAAGATCCACATGCTAGCATAGTTGGTTATGTAGAACGCATGTAAAGGTGAGGTCGACGGTTCGACCCTAGTGATATCCAATACTTAAAAAAAAAAAAAACAAGTTACATAGAAGCTTGGATCTCAATTTTCGAATATTGGTAGACTTCTTTTTTTTTGGGTCACAAAAGGCCTTTTACATAAAACCTTAAACCTTAAGAGTTAAGACCCACTAATGGAAAAATTATCTGTTTGAAAAAAGGCTCTTTTTGGAGTTTAAGTTATAAACTGTCAATAAGAACAAGCTTGCTCCATATTCCTCTGCAATTCATACAGTTCCATGAATATCACCGAACATCGAAAGTCGAAACAAGCAAAAGATCAAAAGCGGTTTACCGTCAAGCCAATTTTACGCGAAAGATCAAAACCGGTTTAAGGTTGTTGGAAGGTGAAAATGTACCAAGGTAACTAGTTAGACCGATCGAACAAAACAGTGAAACACGACCAGGCTCTTGAACCGAAACCATACCATTCATAGCCTAAGTTTGCTTCACACAAAAACTATACCATTTTCTTTTGTCAAAAAATCCTCCAATTTATTGTTATCTTGAATACTCTAAGTACAAGTTCAAGAAACTCTGTAAACTTACATGACAAGTAAAAGGAAAAAAAAAAAACACTTTGAGAAAAGATTACAAAACATTACAAACTTACATGATACTCATAAACTGCAAAAAAACCTGAATTAATCGGTTTTGACGACGATATATCAAACTTCGAAATTCTCCATTTGAACGTTGCTCTTAAGAGGCACATAGTCACCGAGATACCCACCAAGATGATCGTTTAACGCGGATTTATCAATCTCCTGATGATGAAAACTCTTACAGACATAATAAAACACTCTCTGCACAAGCTATCCAATTAGATTCACAATCACAAGAACACCAACCAAGAATCCACCAACAACTTTTCTAATAAAAATCCCATAATCATCTCCACCACGAACAACAACCGCACTGAAAACCACACCAATGAATCCACAATGAGCAAGATAGATAAAAACCATCGAACAAGCCATAAAGGTTTTCCCTTTAAGCAACTCGTAACTCTTCTTCATCGCGGCGAAACCGTAAACAGGCTCAAGAACAGAGACTACACTAGCTAAATGCCATAAAGCAGTCATGTAAACATGAACAACCAAGAACAGAACAAAGATCACTACCAACAAAAACACAGCTAAAACAACATTTTGTAAATCGATCGCTACGATCAACGCGATCAAGAAAATCAAGAAGACGGTGTTGTAAGCGAGCATCAAGAGAGAAACCCAGAGGGAAGTGATGAACAATCTTTTTAAGACTTTGGGAATAGCTGAGATAGTGGAAGAGAACGTAGAGGAATTGGAAAAGGAGGAGGAGGGTCCATTCGTGAGCTTGATTTGAAGGTGGTATGTGTCGATTTGAGTTAAGATTGGTTGTGTGAAGAGAGAATGTGCGAGGATTGCGATGGAGAGAGGGAAAATTAGGGTTAGGGTTGTGAGGTAGAAGGTTTTTAGTGAGAATTTGGGAATCGAGGTTGATTCATGCAAGATTCCTTTAATGCTTAGAAATTGAAGCTCTTCTTGGGAAATGGCGGATTTAGAGATTTTTGGAAGAAAGTTTGAGTTTTGATGATCTGATCGAATCTTGATCTAACAG